CACTTGGCAGATTATACTTTTCTCTCGTTGCCTTGCTCACCAAGGCGGTTGCACTTACTGTGAGTAGCAGGTGTGTGTGGACATTCTTCCAGCATGTCATGAGTAGCTGGACATACTTTGCATTCCGCTTCTTCACCCTCTTGCCCCTTCCCAATTCCTCAGCTGCTGTCCCCCCACTTTCCTTGCTAACCTCTTCTCCATTCTCCTCATTATCAGTCTCACTGTCGGCTGCCTCCCTTCCAATCACTACAGCTCCATCCTCCAGCAGTTCACCAATTTTCCTTGCTGCTTCGTCTGAGTCTTCACTTTCCAGCAAGCGCCACGGATCATTATCTTCACTGACTGACTCTCGTGCTCTTTCCTGCTGCTGCTCAATCTCCACTTCCTCATCCCCGTCTTGCTGCACTATCTCTAGTATCTCCTCAGATTCACTTTGTAATTTCTCCCACACCCATTCAGCTGTCATTCCAGGCTGATCCGTTCTCATCCCACTTTCTTCATCCTCATTTGCAGCTCCAATCCCTTCCTTTTCATGCTCCTCCATCATCTCCTCTATAGCGCTAGGTGCAGCCAACTCCCCTGTAGTTGAGCTCATGTCCTTGTCCACACCCTTCCACTCCAGATCAAGCTCTCATAAAATATCACATCCCTTATTGCCACCACACTCCCATTCTCCACATCCTTGATTACCCAACCCTTACTTACAGGGCAGATCCCGAGGTTGATGCCCCACTTGGTCCTTGGCAGCAACTTGTGGTCTGGTCCATTTGGCTCCCTATACTGCACCATGCATCCCCATACCCTTGCAAACTGTAGGTTCGACTTCCTCCCATAAAATGCCTCGTGTGGAGTCATATCAGCTGCAAGCCCCTTTGTAGGCAATCGGTTCTTTGCCCAGCAAGCCATCCCTAGCGCATCTCCCCAAAACCTCAAAGGTAATCCGCTGTCAGCTAGCATGCTCCTTACGCTGTCCAGTAGAGACATATTGACCCTCTCTGCGATACTAGTGTGCTGTGGGGTATAGGGTACAGTCAGCTGCCTCCTTATCCCCTTGCTCTTCAAGTAGTTTATGAAATTCTTACTCATGAATTCCCCTCCATTATCCGTCCTTACGACTTTCAGCTTCTTCCCGCTTTGCCTTTCTGCTTCCGCCTTCCATTCCTTGAAGCACCCAAATACTTCCCCTTTCTCTTTCATCTCTGTCACCCAGGTATGCCTAGTCCCCAAATCTGTGAATGTAACGAAGTATCGGCTGCCATGCCTTGAAGGAACTCGCATAGGGCCACACACGTGTGCTGCAACTATCTCCATCACCCCATAGCCTTCCTCTTCTACCTTATGCTTGGGATGTGCTGCTCGAGTCTGCTTCCCTTCAATGCACTTGTCACATTTCCCCTAGTCTTTCTCTCCATCCTTTAGCTCCACTCCTTTTACCATCTCCTTCTGAACTACCTCCTTCACTCGCTCCACACTTGCATGTCCCATCCTCCTATGCATGGTCCCAATCTCCACCTTTTCTGCTGCTGCTGCCATTGCCATGATCTCCTTCTCTTTCCCCTAGGTAACTGTACCTTTGCCATCAGCTCCTCTCTTGCCATGACCCCTTCCTCAGGCTCTGGCTGATAGGTAACTTTTGCTCCACTCATGACTTTCTCTCTCAGCTTCATCTCATAAAGCCCCTGGTTTCTTCTCCCTTCAGCTATCACTTACCAATCTGACCCAAATACCCACATCTTCCCCTTGTCACTCAATGTCTTAACACCCATACCATCCAACTGTGACTGACTTATGAGGTTTAGCGCTAGGCACTCTACTAGCAGCACTCTCTCTAACTTCAACTCTCCGTATGGTCCTTGCAGGACTACATCCCCCTCTCCTTTCACTTTTAGTTTGCCCTCATCTCCAACAAGCACATAAGGAACACATGACTCTCTCAGCCCCCTCAACCATTCTGACCTGTTAGTCATATGTTGGGTGCAGCCGCTGTCCATGAACCATGCGGTTTCCTCCAGCCCCTTGGCCATCAAGCATACCACTGATGCCATTGCCACGTTTGCCTTGTGTGAACCGCCGAGTATGACATCTTCATCCCGTTTCTCTGCTTCCACTGTGTTGACCTTTGCTGCAGGTGCTCTTTGTTGTTGCTGCTGCTGAGGATGCACTAGCTGCTGCCCTCTGTAGCTCATGCTGTTTGGGTTAGCATAGCACTCTTTCGCTTTGTGGCCAAACTTTCTGCAGTAGTTGCAGTTTCCCCCAAACCCTCTTCGCTGCTGCCATGCTACTCCATTACCTCCACCACCAGCCCCTCCATTGCTGTTGCCACCACCACCATATCCGGCTTTCCCCCTGAAGTTTCTGCTCCGAGGGTTGTCGTAGCAATCGAGTGCCTTGTGCCCTTTCTTTCCACAATGGTAGCACTCCCCAAATACTCCCCGTGCAGCTGCCGTTGCATTAACTATTGCAGGTTTCTCCTCCTCAACTCCCTTTGCTGTTGCTTCTTTCAGCTTCCTAGCAGCCCTTACTCTCTCCAACGCTTGCAGTGCCTCTAGTAGCTTTGTCATGCTTGCGGGTGGTGAGTAGGTGAACATATGTATGTCCGACTCCCACTCCTTGGGCAATCCTTCAACAATATAACCGATCTTCTCCCTCTCCTTCTCTGGAGCTCCCATCGCCCTCAGGTTATCATTGTAGCTCTTCGCCCGATTTATGTAGTCTATCACCCTCTGATTCTTCTCCATGCTGAACAGCAGCAGCTTCTTCCTTTCTGCAGATTTATCGGCATCCGTAACACCCATGTACGCCAATTCCATATACTCCCATGCTAACTGTGCCGAGTTTAACTCCCCTGCAAAATCATCCAGCCCCACCGCAATGCTGTCCGCAACCGAATGACAGAGCTGGAAAAATGCTTGCTTACTTTGTTTTTTATATACCACTGTTTTCTCGGGTGGCTCTGTCTCAGTTGGTGGTACACCTTCCTTTGTCTCTTGATCCGGATGGTAGAACGACTAGAGGCCGACCTCCTCTGCACGCCGAATGAACTTGAGTCGCCACGTCATGTAGTGACTCACATGGAATCCTTGGGCTTCGCTCAGCCCTATTGTCGGTTTCGCCACTAGTTGCCCTTTCGCGAGGGCCTTGAGGAGAGCTTGCACATGCGGGTCTCCAATGCTCGCGCTGGATCCCGAACTAACCTCGTCACGACTCATGACGTAGGTTTAACTCCTCTCCTTTAACCACTAAACTGAACTTAGCGCAACTAAGTGTTCGTACACGCAACTAAGCGTGCTTATAACAAAGCTCTGATACCAGCTCTTAGTCGACAAGCACCTCCGGCAAGGCTACTTATCGATCTCCTTGATCTCACGATTCCAACGGTATGCTCAGAGTAGCTGAAAGTCGTCAATACGAGATGCAGCAATTTTCTGAATCCAATAATTCGGAATGAGATACAATACAAAGCACAAACGGAAACAACACATATATGCATTTCGGATTTCAGCTAAGTGCCTTGCTGTAACGCGCGAGCCTCGAGTCACCCCAAGTCGCACTCCACCGAAACTGAACGCGCTCCGCGTCGGTTTGGCACCGAAACCGACACCAAGTTCAGTTCCACTGAACGGGCACCGAATGCATTCCTCTTCCAACCAATTCCCCGCACAACACTTCTAGCAGCTGCTGATTCCTCACGCCACATTTCCAGCAGCCGCAAACTCCTTCCTCCTCATTTCCACCTCTCATCTTCTCCGCTTTCCTCAACCGCATTTCTTCCGTACTCCCACCGCATATTGCTGCATCACCGTTCCTCTTCCGCACCTAGTGCCGCCATCGTGCCGCTGGATTAGGGTAGGTCCGCCGTTGGGTAGGGCAGCGCCGAACCATCTCCAACAAGCGCAGCACTCCCTCCGCATCGAATCCCTCGCACTTCAACTGCCGTGGACACGGTGTGTGTTGTGAGTGGCACGTGATGCGCGTGCCACATTTCTCTCGCCACTCCAACCCCTCCCCCTCCAAAACCGCTCGTTACAATTCTTCACCTACCCCAACCCACTTCCCACCAACCAAACCTATTCTACCTACCAAATTTCCAACCCAACTTTTCCAGCTCATCCCCTCCAACCTAAGGCGCTACTCCTTAATTTTCCCCAACTCTCATAATCATTCCTAGTCCACCTCAACCAAGCTTCCAACAAATCCTCTCCAACTTCTCAAGAAGTTTCTCAAAGTACAACAAGGCATCTCCAAGCTCCTCTCCTCGAAGCTCCCCTTCAAGTCTTCTTCAAGCTCCTCAAGTTCACACCACTACAAAGATTCCTTGTTAGCATTCATGTTCTATGTCTCTAGAGATAGTATTACCATGCTACCTTTCTTCCTAGACTACCATGAGTGGTCTCTCTCATGCATGTCCTTGTATCCACCATGGATTATAAGGCTTGTACTATACCCTATTTCATATAAGTTTATGCTCTCAAAGTTCTCCCACAAAGTTCATAGATTAGCAAAGTAATCAAGCATTAGTTCATCTTATACCCAACTCGAGTATAAGATGCATCACCAAGCCACAAGCTTGTAGGAAGATTTACTTCTTCAACACTCAACCTTGTGGTATCTTCACTCTTCAAGTACAAGACCCTCTCCTTCAACCACATCCAAGATTGTGGTCCCCTCTCAAGCTTGTGGTATTCTTCCAAACTCAAGACCCTTTCCCAAATGCAAGACTTCCTCTATCAAGAACCGCTCCCAAGATTCTACAGCTTCTCTACCTTGTAAGACACACATAAGTAAGTCTCTCACTATTCTTTACAAGCATCTTTCTCTCCACAAGTCCCCTTTTACTCACTTGAGTACCTTTCCACTAATTCTCTACAAGCACATTATAATTCCATTTATATGTGCTACAGTTCTACTATTGCACTCTTGCCCTATTCAATCGTACAATCATACTCTTTTGTCTTTATCTCAATTCTTATCAGTGTGCCCCCACGATATGTCCCGCTCATGCGTCCTATCACCGCCGTTATGTGTCTCACAAGTCGACTAGCCTGGATTCCGGCAGGCAGTCGCGCTGTAGTCCGCGTGTAGCATGGCACGACAACATGGCAGCACGGCAGCATTAATCTGAGACGTCTCAAACGGGATCACCGGAGTCGCACGGCCGCCTGGCAGCTGCCCTTCGCACAGGGCGAATCAGCGCACATTGAGACCTCTCAAGCCAGCGGCCATCACGGGTCGCACGGCAGCATGGCAACGGCGCTCCGCACGGGCCGAATCCGCGCCGCCAACTTCCCGCTCGCCGCGACGAGTCTCGCAGCAGCGTGGAACGCGGCGGTAGACGCGCAGAGGACTCGACTGGTGCACGACGCAGCAGCACCGGCACCAGCAAATACTGCAGCGCGGAATGCGGCGGCTGACGCGGTGCACGAGCGAGCGGGAATGGAGGGAGCGAGGGAGAGCAGGGAGTGCGGGCGCGATGGCAGGGCGATGAAGGACACGTGTGGGGGGGGCGACGACTATGACCGCGGGAGTGCGAGGTGCGACGAGAGCGTCCAGTGGCAGTGGGTCGCGGCGCGCCCCTCGTGCCTGGCGCTCGGAGGTGAGTGCGTTGTCTTGCCCACCTGCCCGCAACCTTCCGCCTGAACACCCCCCCCACCCCCCCCTCTTCTGCCCCTTCACCCCTCAGTCCCTTCCTTGTTGCCCCTGCTGTGCCTTTCACCCGCATGCGCCGCCTTGCTGTCGCCAGCTCATCCCTCCCGCCATCATCAGTTTCACCCGCGCTCCTCCTGCGCTCCCATCCGCACATCCCCCTCCCCTCGTTCACCTTCATATCTACTCTTCCATCCCTCCTTCCATCCTCCACCATCCTTCACCCCATTCTCGCTCCCACCCCTCCCCCCCATCCGCCCTGTGCCAGGCGGCTATCTCACCACGGACCACCCGCTGCTGCTGCACTGCCACCACACTCAGCACCAGCACCAGCATGCATGCCATGGGCGGTGCCACGAGGGAGCTGGAAGCCATGCGGCGGTGCCTGCTCCGTGTGCTGCCAGCCCTGATGCTGCTCACCGTCAGCTACCTCTTAATCTCGCTCACTTTGTTGACCCAGTTGACTCGGTTGACTGGCCTGACGTGGCGGACTCGTGTGGCGACGAGCCGCGCGACCCGGCCACCCTGCATTGCTGCCTTGGGTGGCAGAGCCCGGCAGTGCTGCCTGCAGCAGGCGCAGCGGCACCAGCAGCACGGGCAGCACTGCACGCACCCATGGTGGCAGCAGGTCAGGCAGTGCAACACACGCCAAGGCCAACTGAAGTGGCACCTGCTGGATTACGTACTGAGCATCCGGCGTTTGACGGTGCGGCATGTGTGCAGCAGCTACGCGACACGGCACCATGCGACATGGCACCATGCGACATGGCACCATGCGACACGGCAGCAAGGGACATGGCGCCATGTGGAATGGTGGCGGTGGTGCAGTGCCATGTGGTGTTCGATGCGGTCTTCTCCGTGCCGCAACTACTGCTCCTGCCATGCCACCCAGGTATGCATGCCACCCAGGTGTGCATGCATGCCTTCCCACCAGGCGCGGTTGCATGCCACGCCACCTTCGTACTCCACCGTGCCACCATGTTCTCACCATCGACCTCTCGGGGTCACCTTGACCATGATCCCAATCTGAACTTGCGCCTGCCTGTTTTGTGCCCAACCCTGTCCACGCGTCCTTTTTCAACCCTTCCCTCGTGTCCATCAGCTCCACCACCCACCCTCCTCTCTGTCTCTCTCCATTGCCCGCCCCACTCTCACCCGCACAGATGGCCGTCCCCTGCTGTCGCAAGACCTCTTCGCCTTCCTCCCACCCCTCCCCGACCACCCCTTGCTCCCGTCACCTCCGCCCTCCACCGTCGTCCGTCACCCCCACCCCCCTGCCGCCTCACCCACGTCCTCCCTTCCTCCTCGCACCTGCGATCCCTTGGGGCCCACGATTGACTCTTGGCGTCTGCTCACCCCTGTGGTATGCTGTCAAACGCCATGTCCTTCCTGCCCTTGGTCAAACGCCATGTCCTTCCTGCCCTTGGTCAAGCGCCATGTCCTCCCTGCCCTTGGTCAAACGCCGTGGCGCATATTACCCGACTCATCCGCCATGGGCCAAGTAGCAAGCCCACGCACTGTTATGGCAGATCGTTCAGATGTGTGCGTCACGGTGCTTGCATCGCACATTCCACTTGCTCTGGTGTGAATCCCTTTTCGTTCATCGTTCTCCAATCTCTCATTCGTAACTTGTGCTGCCCACCATGGCACTAGGCTTGTTCTTCTGCATATCTCAGCTGCTGTTTGAGTCGCCTCAAATCCTTCCCCCCCTCCACATGGCAGGAGCACCCATTCCTGGGCCGGCCGTGTCTTGCCGTTCACCCCTGCAACACAGCCTCCACAATGGCGCTCATGCTGCACGCTGCTGCTCATGCTGCTGCTGCTGGAAGTGGTGGTGGTGCTGCTGCAGCTGCATGTGGGGCTGACAATAAGGCAGCCACATGGCCAACAGCGGGTGCTGCACCGGCTGCTGCCAGCACGGGTGCATCGCATGACCACAGCCAGGGGCTCGAGCTCTACATGCTGAGCTGGCTGTCGCTGGTTGGCCGGATCGTTGGCATGCACATCCCACCTAGTTTGCTGGACAGAATGGCTTCGTTGTCATCCGCAAAAATTCCGTAAATGCTAACATTGACACTATCACGCGTTAGAAAGAGGGAGCCATGGAAGAAGACGAAGCAAGAAAGCTTTCAGAACCTAAGTCATGCAACAGGTGTAAGGCTGGTAGTAGTCCACAAATGGATCAATACCAGTAGGTGGGTGGGAGGGATCATAAAAGGTGCGGTGGGATTGCTGGTAGTGGTGCTGGTGGAGAGCCTTCCGATTGGCTCAACAGAGCCTCCAGGCAACATGAGTGGCGGTATGGCCCATTCCAGCCCTCTCACACGTGAACAATCCACATTCATTTCTCAAACGTCATTGATTTTGCTGCAAGATTGCTGCTGATCAATCGGAAACCAAAGCGCTACTGGACATCAAGTGCCTTTACCCATTCCCAGCGGCAGCAGCAGCCGTTGTCCCTTCCCCCGCTGCTGCTCCAGCCTTGTCTGCCCGCACCTCACCCGCCACACCACCCGCTTCGTCCCCCCCAGCTGCCGCACCCTCACCAGCCGCATCCGCGCCTGCCCCCCCCGCTGCTTTGCTCTGCCCGGCCTTGCCCTCGTCTGCTGCCCTGCCTGGGCCAGCCTTGTCCGCCTCGCCTCGCACATTGCCAGCATCACCTGCAGCGTCCGCACCTGCTGCACGTGGTGCATCTGTGTGCTTCAAGTCGCCTTCAACCGCCTCGTACTCGCCTGTGGCCTCGTTGAAGCGGTACCTGGCGATTGGGGTCCTGGGAAGGCAACAGTGAGAGTGAGTGGCAAGTGTAGATAGTTGGTGGAGGGAGGATGGGGAGGTGGTCAAGAGCAGCGTTGAAGCCATTGTGTTTGGAGTGGACTCAGTGCGCATAGAGAGGCAAGCGGGGACGAAACACCAAGGCATCGAGGTCGTTACGCGTACAAAGCCATATGTGACTCGTGTGCATCATGCCATGGCACTCTGCTGCTTTGGGTAGAAAGCGATAACAAACTTCACCATAACAAGGTCCTGCACGCTGCTGTGTGCCAGTAGCATTCTGTCACCACACTGTACTGCACTCAACCCCACCATGTGTCGTTAGCAGCACTGCAGAAGAGCCCAGAGGTGGCGTCATAGTAGTAGCCCACCTCCTTATTGTAGTAGTAGCTGGGGCGGAAACGAAGGGGGAGGTGGGGGGGGGGGGGTGGTGGTTTGCAGGCATTGATATGTGAGGTACGTCGAGAGGAGGCCTCATAGTAGTGACCCACCTTCCTGTTGAAGTAGCAGCTGGCAAGGGGGGGGGGTGTAGATTTGGGGGGTTGGATGGGGTGCAGGAATGGGTACTGTATGTGGTTGTGTAATGGTGCAGCAGAGGGAGAGAGAAGCGGAATAGGGAGAGTAAAATGGTGACCTAGTAGCAGAGAGGAGGGGAGAGGTGGAGGGCAGTGCCGGTGATTGCAAGGCACTGGTGAACAACAGACGTCTGCGTGCACGACAGCAAGGGCGCGGGCGCAAGTGAGACACCGTGCACTCACCCACTGGCCGGGTCGAACTCATAGCCGCTGCTGTTGCTCGGTGCTCCGCTCCCTTCCCCCCCCACCTTCCCCTCCCCTCCCTTTCCCTCTGCTCCCCCGGTAGCCGCCTTCCCCTCGCCTTCCTCCTCCCCCTTTCCCTCATCTCCATCCTCCTTAACATCCCTGACTTTACCACCCCCCTCCTTTCCCTCACCCCCATCGTCATCGTCATCATCATCGTCATCGTCATCATCATCATCATCATCATCATCATCCTCATCATCATCATCATCATCGCCAAACATGTCCACGCCATCCCCTCCTTTCTTTCCATTCCCTCTCTCCTCCCCACCTCCTTTCTCCCCCGTACTCTCCTCCCCAGCCCCTCCCCACAGCAGCCCCTGTTGTGCTCTCAGGATCGCCTCGTACCCCTCCGCTTCTCGTTGAAACGTCTCCTTCTTGTCTGAGTACACGTCTGGAGAGGGGGGCGCATGAAAGGCAGAGAATCATATTTTCCAGCACAGGTGGATGAGCAATGCCTCGTGCCTGTCTGCCTCTCTTCGAAACGTCTCCTTGTCTGAGCACACTTCAGCAGGGGGGGGGGGGGGGGCGGGCGGCAGCATAGCACATGAGAACACACGAGATTACATGAGAGCACATGAGAGCACATCGCAGGTGGAGTGTGAATGCCTCGTACCCTCTGGCCCGCGTTGGAACGTCTCCTTCTTGTCCGAGCACACATCTGCAGGATGGGAGGGCACATGAAGAGCAGAGAGCAGCACATTCCAGCGCAGCACAGCGCAGCAGAGCCATCACGTGCTTCCACAGCCATCACGTGCTTCCACAGCCGGCGTCCATGAGCATCATACCTGTCTCCCACGCATCCATGAGCATCATACCTGTCTCCCCCGCATCCATGAGCATCATGGCTTCTGCAGTGAGCTGCTCAAACAGCCGCTGCCTTGCCTCCGACTCCATGCCTCCCTCCTGCCCCTCACCCCCTCCCGTCTCCTCCATCCACCGCGGTCTGTTCTGTGGCCTCCCGCCCTTCCCCCTTCCCTCCCCGCCCTCCTTCCCTTTCCCCTCACCCCCCGGCCGCCCCCTCTTCCTCCCCCTGCTTCCCCCCCTTCGCTCCTCCCACTCCCCCTTGCCCCGGCCCTTTCTTCCCCCCGCCTAGTCGCTTTAGCCCTTGAATGACCTGTGCGTGGAGGAGGGGGGAGGGGAACGGCGTGGGATGGGGGGGATTGAGGGCGCGGGTGGGGGCGAGGGGTAGAGAGGCAGCACAAGAGTCCATCTAATAGGGATACGGTGCGGCCGCCGCACGCCACTTCACTCCCATCCACGGCTGTCTGCCACCCATTTCCCCATTTGAGCCGTAGCTTCGCAAACCCTCCACCCTCCCATGCCACACTGCCAGCCTTGTTGCACTCATCCCCACACCCCCATCCATGCTCATGCCAGCTTTCCGATTTCCCCCTACTTCCTCCCTTTGTCACTTAGGGTAGATTCTGGAGCAAGTGTCAGACCCGAGGTCGACCTGCGGCCGAAGGAGCTGCGGGTTGTCACAGCCTAACTGCGGGTCTTATATTTTTTACGGTGCAGCGGCTGCACAGTTACGAACTGTCACAAGGGGAGGGTTGCGACTATAGTGGCCGAACTTTGCGAGTCCACCAGAAATTTGCGAGTTAATGATTGGTGGAAGTTCATTTGCGCGACATTGTTAGTTCTTCGGTTTGACAGCTGACTGGCTGGAGCCGTCAGTTTTTCGCAAGACCCGAGACAAGTTTTTTCCAGCCTCGGATCTTCCTGCTAAACCCTCGGGTGTAACATTCGCTGCAGAACTTACCCTTACCGTCTCCCCTGGGTTCAGCGCATCAGCAATGCGCCGCCTGATCGCCGCCATCTCCACGTGCCCCATGCCGCCCTCCCCCGCCTGCTCTGCTGCAGCCGCTGCCTCTGCATGCGCTGCCGCCTTGGCGGCCAGGGTGGGGTCCACCTCTGCTGTTGCCAGCCATGCGTCCTGAACGGGAAAGGGGAGGGGGGGGGGGAGAGAGAGGAGGGAAGGGGAGGGGAGGGGGCGCATGGTTAGGGGACACAGCGACATGGCGCTGCCTCTGCCTGTGCTGCTGCTGCGGTGGCCAGGGCACGATTGACGGCGAGTCATGCATCCTAGTGTGGGTGGCAGGCAGGGTGAGGGTGGAATGTCAAAGTGACTGTAGAGGTGCCTCTGCGCACACTGCGGCATTGGTTGGCGGTGTGGGGTCAACTTTAGCCGCTCCCACCCATGCGCGCTGGTGTGAGTGGGGGAGGGGGGAGGCTGCACGGTGAGGGACACAGAGACACGGAGCACGGTTTGCGAGACATAGCGGATGAGGGGCGTTGGGGACACATGGCGTAAGATTCAGGTGTGGGAGCACTTGCTTGTGGGGCTGCCTTGGCTGCTGCTGGGTCAACTCAGGCTGTCGCCAGCCCAGGGAGGGGAGGAGGGAGGCCGCACGGTGTGTGGGAGTGAGGAGGGGGAAGGCAGTGATGTAGTGATGAGGGCAGCGTGTGTGTGCCTCAGCTGGCAGGCAGACGGCGGAGGGAAGGGCCACCTGGTGTGGTGGTCGGTTGGGGCGGGGTGGGGTTCGTCCGAGGCTTCGCCAGCCATGTGGCGTGAGGGCTTTGCTCCCAAGTACGGAAGGTGGATGGTGTGTGAGGGCAGCCAAGTACGGGCGTCATGCGTGGGTGAATGGTGAATGGGCATGTGGCGTGTTGGAAAGATGGCGGGCGTGGACTGCGTGTGAGAAGCAATCCGTGCATGTCATGCACAACACACATGGCTCCTCCCGGCCTTACAGTGGCCTCCGTGTCCTCTCTGTACTCCACGTAGTTGCCCTCGGCGTCGAAGTACCCCTCCTCACGCTCCTGCTGCAGGTTGAGCGGCTCTATCGCCTCCTTCTCCTCCTCCTCGCCCTGCTCACACCCACACGCCATGCAACGCGCGCCAGACACCACACGCCATACAGCAAGAATCAGCATGCATGCATGCATGCAGGTCCACACATTCGGGCCGTGCACCGCCATCGCCAATCCCCATTCCACTCTTCCCCGCGGACCCCACCCCCAACAAACCCTTCCCCCACACCCCTTGCTCCCTCCCTCCCTTCCCCCACACCCCTTGATTCCGCCCTCCCTTGCCCTAAAACCCTCCCTCCCTCCCTTTCTTCTCCTCCTCTCCCTTCCCTCCCTCCCTCCTTCCTCCTCCTCTACTTCCTCCCTCTCCCCTCTCCCTCCTCCCTCTCCCCCCCTCCCTTCCCCCCACCAGGAAGTCTTCCTCCGCGCCCACCACGTCCTCCACGTCCCCAAACGCCGTGTTCTTCCCCCGCTTCCGCTGCTGCGCGCATGCCTGCGCCGCCACGCGCGGGTCCGCAGAGTCCATTAGCACCGCTGCGCCCACGGAGCCTTCGCCAGCCGCGTCGGGCCAAGTCGTCGCGATCCATGGCGCTGACGTCAGCTGCAGGCGGCGCACCCCTGACCTTCTTGGGCTTCTTCTCCGGCAGCACTGCGCGCCGAGGCCTGGCGGAGTGCGCGTGTGGAGGGGAGAGGAGGGAGAAGGGAGGAGAGAGCAGGAGGGTGGGGGTGGGGGTGGGGTGGGGGTGGGGGGGGGGGGAATTGCGCAGCACGAAAGGGAAAGTGACAAAGCTTGTGAATGAGAATGAGTGGGACGAAGCTTTTGGCAGTGAATACGCACGAAAATTATTCGACGCGACAGAAGATAGAGACGGCGCGCACTTGGTATCTGTTCTGAGTGTAGCACGTGATGCGCGTGCCACATTTCTCTCGCCACTCCAACCCCTCCCCCTCCAAAACCGCTCGTTACAATTCTTCACCTACCCCAACCCATTTCCCACCAACCAAACCTACTCTATCTACCAAATTTCCAACCCAACTTTTCCAGCTCATCTCCTCCAACCTAAGGCCTCCCAACTACTCCTTAATTTTCCCCAACTCCCATAATCATTCCTAGTCCACCTCAACCAAGCTTCCAACCAAGATTCCAACCAATCCTCCTATTCATCTCCAACTCCCACCTCAAGGCACATGACTCTTCGTCGGAGCCGCCGCCGCAGCAGCAGCATCCGTTTGTGGACTCTAGGTGTGCTGGCGTTGAGGAGGGTGCTAGTCCTCAGGTTCTTGTTGTGGCTTGTCCCGGCAGGCCTGGGGGTGGCACCGGTGCTCGAGAGAGTTCTCGCTCTGGGGGTGCTCGTTTCGGGGGTGCCGGAGTGGAGTGTTCCGGAGGTGGCCGTGGTGCAGCTGGCGGTCCCGGTGACGGCGTCGAGCAGCAGTAGCAGCAGTCGCCGCCGGTGTCCGACCTTCGATTGCTCGGCCTTCCTTCCCCTAACTACTAGCCTGCGCCTTCCCCGCCGCCTCCTCCACCAGACTCGTCTCCTGCTCGTCTTCCCCCTCGTTTCCCTCTTGTGTCTCCTCCTCTCTCTCCTGACCAGACGCCTCCGTCTCACGTCTGGTCTCGCAGTCCCTCTCGTGCTCGTCCTGTCTCTCCTGTTCAGCGTTCTCACCCTATGTTGCAACATTCCCACGTGTCTCGTCCTCCCCTCCTCCCGTCGCCTCCTGCGTCATCACTCGCTGCCGCGCCTCCCCCTCTGTATGACTACCTTCGTGTTGCTCGTCCTCTTGTTCCTCGGGTCCTTGCCTCCCTCGTTACCGACCAGTCTGTTCTTGTCGCTGCTGTCGCTGAATTCGCCTCTACTCACCGCCTTGACTACGCCACCTCTCTGGTCTTTGACCCTCTATGTCCTTCATTCGTCTGGGGGCCTTTGGAAGTGACGTCATAGAGGACAAGCAGTACGAGCTTGCTTTCCTATCTGAGGTTGCTCCCCATCTCTGTTCCGTGCAGCTAGTCCCTCAGGGTGACCTAGACGCCTTTGACATCCGGACCCCTCGCACTTACGCTGAGGCGACCTCGGGACCCTGGGCCTCTCAGTGGATAGCTGCCATGGAGCACGAGATGGCATCTTGGAGATCCACCGGCACCTACGTCGACGCACTTCCCCCACCTGCGGTGAACGTAGTCGATGGCCGCTGGCTCTTCAAGGTGAAGCGCCCTCCTAGAGAGCCGCCTGTGTTCAAGGCGTGTTACGTGGCTAGAGGCTTCAGTCAGCGTGAGGGGGTAGACTTCTTTCAGACTTTCGCCCCGACCCCGACGATGACTACTCTTCGGGCACTGCTACACGTAGCAGCACAGCGTGACTACGAGTTACACTCCCTCGACTTCTCCACTGCATTTCTTCAGGGCAGTCTACACGAGTAGGTCTACCTGCGTCGTCCGTAGGGCTTCACTGGTACCTTCCCTCCTAGGACCCAGTGGCTCCTCCGGCGCCCGGTCTACGTCCTGCGACAGGAGCTTCGTGAGTGGCACGACACGCTGCATGCTACACTGGCTGACATGCAGTTCTTTCCGTCCTCTGCAGACCCCTCACTCTTCGTTCGTGCTGGCCAGACTCAGTTCTACATCCTTGTCTACGTAGACGACCTGGTCTTCGCTACTGCAGACAGAGACGCACTGACCTCCGTTAAGGCCGAGCTGCTGAGGAGACACACCTGCACTGCCCTAGGAGAGCTGCGCCGCTACCTTGGCCTGCAGATATCCAGGGACAGAGCAGCGCGCACCATCGCTCTCACACAGTCACACTTGGTGCGCCAGGTCCTTCAGAGGTTTGGTCTTCAGTTCTCCTCCGCACAGCCCACACCTTTGCCTGTAGACCACAATCTCTCTGCTCAAGTTCCTGAGGAGTCAGTAGAGCCCAATGGTCCTTACGCAGAGCTGGTGGGTTGCCTCATGTACCTGATGACTTGCACTCGTCCAGATCTCGCATACCCTCTCAGCATCCTGGCTCGCTTTGTGGCCACAGGCAGACACTGACCACATCACTTGTCGGCCGCTTAGAGGGTTTTGCGTTATCTAGCAAGTACATTGGGCATGGGGTTAGTGCTGGGATGACGCAGGCCAGTGGTCTTTACAAGGCACACAGACGTTTCTTGGGCTGACGATGCTGAGACCCTCAGGTCTTCTCAGGGCTACTGCTTTAGCCCTGGTTCAGGTGCCATCTCATGGAGGTCCACTCGCTCCTCGTTTGTTGCCCAGTCTAGCAGTGAGGCTGGGATCTACGCCGGTGCCATGGCGGCGCAGGAGCTCTGCTGGCTGACCTTCTTGCTCACCGACTTAGGTGAGTGGCCTAGCTGTGCCCTGGTTATGTACGCTGACAACAGGGCCATGATCCTCCTGTGTCAGAAGGCTCAACTTGAGGGCAGAGCGAAGCACATCCAGCTGCGGTACTTCCTCCTTTGCAAGCTATAGCAGCGTCGTCAGGCCCGCGTAGTACACTGGGCCTTTGGTGCCAACACAGCTGATATCTTTACTAAGGCGCTTGCGCCTAAAGATCATTAGCGGCACTGTTTGCAGCTTGGTCTAGTTCTTGTAGATTCTCACTTGCTAGGACCTTGATTGTGTACCTCTCTTTATATATACCTTTCAAACTGGCCTTGTGGCTTCTCTTCTAGCGGCCGAAGATGGCGTTTTGGACCCGTTACAGGAGTTACAAGTACACAATTTGGCCATTTGGCTTTACAAACGCGCCTTTGACATTCCAGTTGACCATGAACGAGATTTTTCGGCCACTCCTGGATAAGTGCGTCATCGTGTACCTTGACGACATCCTGGTCTACAGCACTACTTAGGAGCAGCACTTGAAGGATTATGAAGTCGTTTTCTCTCTCCTGTAGCAGCACCAACTCATCACCAAAGTCTCAAAGTGCGAGTTTCTAAAACATGAACTGGAGTTTTTAGGCCACGCCATTTTCCTCGACGATGTTACAATGGACCCCAAGTGCGACCAATCTTGACAGTCAACACATCAATCCCAATGTCAACCCAGTACCTGAGCCCATGAGAGAGCCCTCCAAGTTTCTCGCTCATCGCGTACGGGGGCATCGAGATACAGTAGCCATTGATTTCTTTGTGCGATGGGTCGATCGCACGAGTGACGATGACCTCTGGGCTCCTGCAGCTATGCTTGGCAAACACAGAGTTGTTCGGGACTATTTACACCGATGACGTGCCCGGAATGTGGGTAGTCTCGTCCCGGAAGGGGGGGTGGTGTAAGGAAATTCGTTTTTCCTTACTGGGCTTGACTGCAGTGCGTACGCCCTCGACTCTCGAACAACTTCGCCAACTTTTTTGGTCCCGAACCACTTCGCAAACCCAAACCTGGGCGTGCGGCGCTTCCGTAGCTTTCGCCAACCAGACCGCCCCAACCTGTTTGCGTGGTTCTCGCCTAGCCCTGTCCGTGCCTATAAATGCCTAGGCCCTCATTTGTATCAACACTCTTGAATCATGACTCCTTTATTACACTACTTGTTATAACTCTGATTGATTCATACCAATGGAAATGTGCATAACAGCTGACAGTTTCATCACCTGAAACTGTTAAACAACTACTTCGAGGCTGGTGAAAATTACTAACTAAGCATGTGCTGTGATTTTCACCTACCATTGCTGACTTGGCTAAGTGCAGTTGGAAGCATTTATGTCAACGTTCTAGTGGGAACATTCTAGAGGTGTTCAATGAGGTAGTATTAGCGTTTGCCTTGTGTACCATAATTTGTAATCTTGATTCTAGTGAATTTTGTGTGAATGCAAGCTTTGTCAAGCTATGCTGTTGAACACACAATCTGGAGGCAAAAGACAACAGATTGTGAAATGCAGAGCTAGAGTAGCTTTATCTGCATCAGGCACTTCTGCAGAAGCTCCCGTTATAGCAGAAAACTCTGCATGGTGCGATGAGCGTGGAGCGAACTCGCGAACGATAGGTGCTGGAACCAGTATATTAAGGTTTCGC